AACAGTGGTTAGTTATCGTTTTGCATAGCATCGGGCGTGTTGTTTTGTTTTTGTTTGCGTACGTCGTCGTGTTTATTTACAATATTCTCGAATCAAGAGTTCGCCGACATGTTGTTAGTTTACGGTGAAGCTCGTCAGAAATCAAATCTTGCAGCTCAAATTTATCGCGACAGATTTCGCCAACGGGTACACCCAAACAGAAGGACATTTTTTGTGCAAGTGTACCAAAGACTTCGAGATGCAGGAGGTGTTCAGCCCACTAATATTCGCACTCGTGAAAGACAGGCTACTGTAGAGCAGGAGGAACAAATTTTAAATATCGTGGAAATCAATGCAGATATCAGCACTCGGGAATTAGGCCGCAGCATAGGACTATCGCATACCATAGTCCATAGAATCGTACGAGAAAATTTGCTTCATTCCTACCATGTACAACGAGTGCAGGCCTTCTTACCAGAAGACTATCCTCGGATTTTTTTAAAAACATTCTAGCGACGGACGAATGTACTTTTACGCGAGACGGGATCTTAAATTTCAATAATACTCACACATGGGCCCAAGAAAATCCTCATACCATTCGTGAAGGTCATTTCCAACAACGTATTAAAATAAATATTTTGGCGGGTATTCTTGAGGATCAGGCAATTGGCCCTTTCGAGTTACCCCCAAAGTTGTCAGGAGAAGGATACCTTAGCTTTCCAGCCAATAACCTACCAGAACTTTTGGAACAGACCTTAGACAACATGCCATTACAACGGAGACGGAATTTGTTGTTTCTTCATGACGGGGCTCCACCACACATTTTTAGAGGCGTCATTCAGTATTTGAATGAACATTATCCAAATCGCTGGATCGGGCGAAATGCTCCTGATCCTCGAAAATGGCCAGCAAGATCTCCTGACCTCAATCCGACGGATTTCTGGTATTGGGGCGAATTTAAAGGGATGGTTTATGGTGCTAGCCCAATAACCACTGAAGCACAACGCGAAAAAAAATTTAATGCTGCTGAAATAATAAATGGACACTTTCGAGGACCTAGAGTAAGTAGAAACTGGGTTTGTCGTGATGAAGCTTATGTGGAAAGTGGAGGACGATATTTTGAACACTTTCTTAAAATACAAAAAAGTGCGGTGTAGGTTTTAAAAAGAAAAACAATGTATATATCAAAATTGTGTTCTCTATTTATAAGTGGATTTTTTTAATACGGTCAATAAACTTTCAAACACCAGGTAAAGCGCTGGTACAGTTAGTGGTAAGTCCGTTTTTTTAATTGTTTGAATTTTACGAGTAGATTATCAAATAATGAAATAATACCTAAGAGCCAAAAATAACAAACTGCATGTTTATTTACACTGCGTTCCGTCGTAATTTGCGTTCGGCATTGCGACGTTGTCAGCTTTTATTTTACTTCAAAGTCACTTTTCTGTAAAAAATGGCGTTTTAACCCCCATGTTATATGAAACTTTTTGCTTCTTTTAACCCCCTCTATCACCCATTTAAATAATGGCTATCATAACGTTTACTCTTCTTTATTCTTAATTCTGGCCTGGAAATGTGTGATATTACCATATCTGACAGCTTTTTCTGAAGCTCAACCACCATAAAAAGAACCCGTCTCTTTTATTATCCGATCTATAATAATAAATAAAAATAAAAATAAAATATATCATCCTGCTATACAGAACCGTTAAATCGCAAAAAATGTCCGAATGCTAACCATAAATCTCACCAGGACTGACCCCTCCTTCATAGGCGCGCTCAGGGATTTTAGGGGGCTCAATTAATAATGTTGAGGAAACTAGTAGTATGATGAAATCATCAACAGACAGCTGGGTACTGAGTGAAAAATATGTCATGGTTCGCAAAATATATAACGCGGAGAAACTATTCTTCTATTGGTATACCAGATGAATGCTCCTCCGAGCACTATTCAATGATGTCCAGCCTTGTGCTACATTAAGCCCTGTCCACCAAGAACTGAAAGATATCTGGAATGTGCAACAATATACCACAAGAGGAATTTTCAGTTTTACTAATATTTGACAGTTCCAAGCTTGCATATAATATTTTCGAACTTCAAGGCGTACATCTAGCCCTAAATCAAGAAAAAAGCTTAAATAAGCTAGAACAAACTAAACTTGATGCTATCGTTATTCCGACCAAAAGGCAGCCAATTATCCTCTATCCAGGAGGTACGGTCGTTCGAAATAAGACAGCGCAAGGCGCCATCCATCACAGACATCTAAAGATCTAAAAAAGAAATTGAAAAAAATCTAAAATCTGAAGAATGTGAACTGAGATCTTTTTAGCTAAGCGCTTTCCGCAGTGGTCGATTCTGGTGATAGATGGCGCTTTGCACTATGTTACTTCGATAAGCTGGAACAGTTTCTCATGCCAGCGCAAAAGCGAAAAAGGCACGACACAGCTGTTTACGGTTGGCTGAGAAGGAAAAATAATAGTTACGAATATGTATAGCAGGGAGATTAAACGGATTAAATGAGTAGAACAAGTATATACAATTGGCCTCAGCCATGCTTTCTTTGCCCTACCCGTAATAATTGTCCATCTGGCAACGCCGCCTCTCCCAAATATCTTATCGCACGATGCGCCAGGCACGGCAGATCCGGACAGCGCCAGTCACGCGAGGACGCTTATGGCGACCAGTGCCGAAAACACTGTTTCAAGGCCAAATGTGGATGTGTGAAATATGTCTAATAGTATACCAACAGGGGCTGGAACTGTATTAATACACTAACATCAATAAATGGCATCAAGTAGATTGACTTCCCAGGCTACGCTGTCATCCGTACATAAAGGATTATGTTCGGCCAAAGTTAGACCATTTGAGCTAGGTACAAATATGTATAACAAAATAGTTGAATGGGTCAAGACTGCCAAGCAGTTTCATATACATAAATACTCCATAGTCTCCATCCATTCGATAACGTTATCGCCAGTTTCTTCTCTGCCCTATGTATACACCATCTGGCAACGCTGCTGTACCACACCTGTCAAAAACGTCGTAAGCGCCAGCCACGATACTATAAAATCCCGGCTAGCGATGCTGTCAGGCGAAAGGCAGGGTTCGGCGCATAAAAGTCATCATCGCATTGTCCCGACCGACCGCGTGTCTCGTCTATAAATATTCCTCTATGTTATAAGGGCAAATGTACGGGAAATATGTTCATAGATGCGTAAACTTACAGGGGCTGGAAGTATATTAATATGCTAAAATCAAAAAAAGGTGGTATGTCCACACTCATCCCACTACGACCCCCTACACCCAATTTCTTACCTCTGATTTCCTTTTCACAAATGATCAGGAGGCTTTGAGCGATTTCTACATATTTTCTTACTTTGTTGCCTCTACTTCCGAAGCCACTGGACGGACTTCCAAAAGCTAGCAAGTTTTTTGTTCTTTGCATAGAAGTATCCTTGCGTGAAAATTTCAACAAAATCCGACCGGTACTTTCCAAGATATAAACGGGCCAAAGTTTAGCGAACAAACAGAAAGACCGACGGAAATCAGTGACAACGTCTTTCGTGGTCTATAATATCCAAAAAAACCTGTTATCTCATTATCAAGTACGCCTGGAAAATAAAAGGTGGCATAACCTTTGACCCCCAAAGGCCCTTCCATGGGCTGATCCTTGGCCTTACCGGCCGGGCAGTTTTTCTGGAGTGGCGGCCAGTCGTATTTTTGTTTTTATTGCTGGGGTATGTAATCAAAATTTATTTTATTCCACGCTTTGCCGCCGGAGGCGCCTCTCGCCGACCGATTCGTGTTTCTGCGAGAATTGGAACAAAGGGTCGATAAACTGCTGCTGCATTGCCTCCACTGCCTTTCATCGATTCACTACATTTATAGATTACGAGAAAAACATTGTGTGCGATGTTTGTCTGGAGTCAGAAAAACAATGTTTGTTGAGAAAAACATGCATGACGTGTTTTAATTTTGGCAGAATACTGAAAGGCCAGCTAAAGGAGCGGTTTCATTTTCATAATGTACTAGAAACTAGACTAAATCCGCGGCTCCGCTTGCGTGGAAGTAATGTAAAGAATGTGTTATTCCTTTCGCATTAGTGTGGATGAGATTCGGAGAAAGAGGTACAAAGTTCAAAGTAAAGCTGTAATAGGTTTCCTCGATATGATAAACCTTAAACAATGTGTTGAATAATAGTGGAAGGCTGTTAGGTTTAAAATTAACAAATGAAACTTGTTCTGTTTCTCGTGACACCTTGCCACTGGTACCTGAAGATATCCCACCTTCATCCAGCACTTGTATACGTTTTGGAAATATTAATGCTACCCCTGATGCATTTCCCTTGTTTAGCGATTTTAACATGTATAATTTACGAGTATCGAATTTCCCAGAACTTGATAATGCTCTGCTCATCGCAGACGTTCCTTTTTCAGATAACTTCTCAGATGCTAACCTAGCTGTTGGTGAATTTTATAAAATTTTATACTCTATCTATATTTTAGACATAAGTACCCTTCGTAGTACGCCATTGAAATGATTAGGAACGTCAAGTATAAAGCAACGCTATTTAAGAAGTACAAAAAGAGAACGTATTCATATACTGGCTAAACTGTTGGCTTCCGTATTTAACCTAATTCTTAAATCAGAAACATATCCAGATATCTAGAAGACCACTGAAATATGTCCCATTCTCAAGTGTATACTTGTTAGTATCACCATTGGAGAGTAACGGCCCGTTCACACATGCTCTCCGTTTTACTGGTCCGTTTTATCGGATACGTTTTTTTTTCGTCGTTGGCGTATATAGTTGTATGAGCGACTTCACACATGGTACAGTGTACTGTATACAGTAAAAAATACTGTTCCGTTAAAATATGACATTCCGTTTTGTCATTGAATACTGGACGGCGGAACAGTAAAAATATACGGATACGTAATATTTTAACGGATAGATACTATGTGCGTGGCGGGCGGTGTGTGCGGGGTGTAGGAGGGGGAGTGATACGACAGGTTTTGAGTCGCAATTTCTATTGTACTTTCATAGAGAACGCGCGCGTGCATTGTGTGTAATAATTATTATAATCACTGATCAACGATGTCAACCAAGGAGTGGGAAAAGTTAATAGACAAGGAAACGTTAATTACTTTGGTGGAAGTTAGGCCAGCCCTTTGGGACAAGACGCTGGATAAATACAAAGACAATACTGCAAGTATTGCAGGTTGGCGCGAAATATGCGTTATTCTAATGGAGGATTTTGAGGCTATGGAACAAAGACAAAGACAAGAGTTCGGTAAGTGTCTGTTTTATTATTTAATTACATTCTAAATAGCTTCATCCTGCCATGGAACTGATCCAGCTTCGGACATGAAATAGTTCACGAATTCTGTTCGAACTCAATTTTCAGTATTATCACCTCGTGTTCTTACTTCATGTGGTAGGTTTTCGTAACTAAATTCTTGAGATACGTTATTATCACTGTTTGAGCCCTCTTTGTCCCTTATAAAGTTGTGTAGAATAGTACATGCCGTAACAGTCGATAAAGCTGTTGTTTTATCGATGTCTAGAGGCCGATGGGATATTCTCCACTTATTAGCTAAGATACCGAAGGCACATTCAACGTATCTCCTAGCTCTGGTCAAACGATAGTTGAATTCGCTTATTTTTGTCCAGATGCGTCCCGCCAAACGGCCTTAGTAAATTTTCGTGTAATCTGAAACCCTTGTCTCTAATCACCCTATAAGGAACTCTCGTTTCTGAGTCTCTTGTTAATGGTCATGATGCTGGTATTTGAAGACTGCCGTCTAGCATCATTTTCCAAAATGTTGTCTCCTTGAATATTGATGAATCGCATTCTTTTCCATAAGATCCGACAATGACGTATACAAAGCGATAGTCGGAGTCTACGATCGCTAATAATATGATGGAAAAAAATCCTTATAATTGATATACAGTGAACCGCTATTTAGTGGTTTTTTAAGTCGGATATGTTTTCCGTCGACAGCTCCACTTGCTATCTGTTCCCATTCGTCGACTGATGTAGGAAGTCGCATAAATTTTTCACTTAAATTGTTCCATATGCACCTTGAAACTTCTTTAATAATGTTGCTAACAGTCGATACACCAACGCGATAGGTGTAATGAAGATCTTTAAATGAACATCCGGATGCTGCATATCTGAAAATAAAATTGATTGTTTTGATACTTGTTTTAGGAAAACTTGTTATGAAAAAGTGGAGACAGATAAGAGATGCCTAAGTGAGAACACTAAAAGATAAATAGAATTGCAAGACGTCTGGTTCCGCTGTCTCAAACACGAAGCCCTACAAATACCATAATCAGATACTGTTTTTGAAAAAAGTAGTTGCTGCTGGTGAAACGCACGAAAGCGTCTCTGCTAAACAAACTGATGAACAAACCGAAGATGTCACCACGACATCTAATGAACCTACAAACGAATATGACAGTGTGACTACAATGACACAACTTGGCAATGACAGTCAAAAGGACAAACAAAACGCAGAGCACCAGCCAAAAGAAATTTTAATGAAATCGATGCTAAAATGATGTCCTACATTGACTATCAGATAAAACCGAAGAAAATTGAGCAGGATGATCGCAACTTATCGTTCTTCGAAGGTGTTTTGCCGACCTTGGCTTTGCTTGATGATGACCAAACTTTGGAACTCCAGTCAGGGGTGATAAACCTATTACAAAATATTAAACATAGGTGAGTTGGCCAGTCAACTTATGACTAGTCAGCCTATACACAAACATGTGGTGCTAGTCACTATCAATCTTAGGGCTATTTTAGCAGACCACAGCCAGTGCACTATCGACAGTACAATCTGTATACAGTGATGCTACGTTAGATCATCAAAAATAAAAGTACGTACCTTAAAAATATCGCTAGTTTTTCTTCTGGGCAGATACTTTTCCTCCAACGAGTATCCTGCTTTTTTAAATCCTTTTCCAATAGTTTAAGAAGTTCATCAAAAGTAGACATTGACATACGAAAGTAATTGAAAAATTTCGATTCATCACCTCGTAACTGACTCATAAGTAAACCGTAAGCACCCTCTCTAGATCTTTGGGCCATAAGTGGATGCTGCCAATAACGTCGAATCTTCCTTCTCCGACGATAGTACCAATACAACGCGACAGCGTCCATCCTTGTAGAATAGCGGCGGTATACTGCGAGTTTTCTGTTCACACATCGCATTCAGTAATGACGGATCCGTTGAACGTTATACGGTGCCTATGTGTGAACAGAGCATAAATTTATCCGTTAAAACCGTACCAGTAAAACGGACTCCCATGTGGGAACGCGCCGTAACTCGCAACATACGAATACGTTTCGTATTGTAATTTTTTCACTGGAATTGAAACATGGCCGCTAAAAAAGAATGGTCAAAAGATGATACAAATAATTTGATTTGTCTATATTGAGAAAGTTCCGTCCAGTGGGATACTAAAAATAATGAATATAGGAACACAGAGAAGAAAAATGAAATATTATCGGGAATTGCGGGAAATTTCGGTTGCACTTCTGAAGAGATTCAACGAAAATCAGACAATTTGAGGAATCAGGTAAAGTATTTTAAGGAATGATTGTTCCATATGAATATTCAAGTATTTTCAGATGTCTCAAGAACTGAAGAAGACAAAGATTCTAAAAAGCGGAAGCGGAGCGGATGAAATTTATAACAGCAAATGGCCATACTTTGATGCTCTCAAATTTCTGAAACCAATTCTTAATACTAGTCATACAAAGTTTTCGATGAATTTAACAAAGACATCATTCAATGGTGTAAGTAATCGCAGTTGTATTATTTAAGCAGAGCCGGTAGACGCAATGAATCTAGCTCACTTCAGTTATTAGTATTTATGCATTTTATATTTTTGGTTTTTATATCCTTTACAATCTCTTTGTATATACCGAGCTGAGAAAAAAAAGCGGCAGAGTTTAATAGAAATGACAAATAACTCCTTTAAGTATTTTTTGGGGTTATTATTATATCTTTCAGTAGTTGATTGATAAGGCTGAAAAGTCTAACAATAATATGCTATTATGTGACAAAACTATCGATTCACATAAATGACGAGTTTCTAGCAAAAACAGCATTTGACTAAAACAGAAATCCCAGAGAACTACTGGTTTTCTTCTCTTAATTAAGATCGTAAATTCTAGTGTTCTGTATCAGTGTTATAACGGTAGTTTTGAACGTCAACATATTATGTTATAGAAACCCTTCAATTATGTGGCACATTTTTTTAAGTGTAAGTTGTAAAAATGTATTCTTGCATAAGAGCTTAATGACATAGATAACAATTAGGCAACACTGCAGTTTCCTTTGAAGCGGCCATCACAAAGTACGGATGGTAAAGAAATGTAAGACCAAAAGCGAAGCAATTTTCTCTCACATAGCTAACTGTCAATAGCTCTTTTGGTACTAGAGATCTTTCTTCTGCTGTGGTTGCTCCATGCTCTTGCAAACTGTCAATCGCGGGTAGCTTGAATAATCATTAGGTTTTCAATGATTTACCAATTTTCTGCGCAATTTTCTTGATTTTTCTTCCCGTAAGAACCTTCTATACAGCATTAGGAAACCTTTAAAAAAAGATGAATGAAATCGGTAAAGTCGTTCTAAAGTTATGGCGTGACCATTTTTATATATTATATAGATAGAAGATGTAAGTTATGACTGCCACTTGAGGAGTGGATTTCAAACAAATAATCACGCTTTCCTTGGGGACGCTCAAGGAAGGATTTAGAATGTGTGTTTCCATATAGGATTACGAAATTGGTGAAATTTTCAAAATTCACGAATAATACAGGATTTTCGAAATTTACCACAACCAACATTTCTGAATTTATTATAATCCAAAAAATTATGAAAATTTAGAAAATTTGCAAAATTTTATTATTTGAAAATTTTGTAAATTCTGAAAATATAAAAGTTTTGATAACTTTAAAGCTCTAGAGGCTTTGGTTGAAGCGTGGCAATAGATTTTAGGGATTAGCATATTGAAAAGGTATCTAAATAATTAATTTGATACTACTTATGGCTTGAATAAGTTCTATATTGACTCATAACTTGATACCCAATAAAGATAACTACTTACCGTTTTCATTGGCTATTGGCTTATGAGATTTTGCATGCACTTTTTGAATGAATAATAAATAATACCATACTTAAAATTATAGCGGATGAAAAAGGAAGTACGCTGAAAAACTTACGATCCATTAATCAGACCAGGATTGTAACAGTCCATAAAATGTATCCGAAGTCACACTACTTTCTCTGAAACGACCTTAAGTCCGTCGCGTGTATATGTCGGCGTCAAACGCTGAAATCCGTCATTCCCTGGAATACCTAGTCAGTCCCCGTATTGGCGCCAAACACCGTAAGTTTGATTATTATAATGTTTGACTAAGCATTTCAGTCATTCCCTGTAATGACTGAACAATTTCAGTCAAACACAGTAACAACCACATAAACTTCGTTACTGCATTCGCCTATGTTAGTCAAACGTTGTACGTAATCAATACAGTGCTGCTCCAATGAAGTACATAATATAACAAGGTCTTCATCAATAATATTAGAAGAAAAATAATCAAGCATGAATTAATCTAAAAGGAAAGAAGAATAGATTAAAACGTTGTCTTTATTATTACATTATTGTTTTTTTAATCAAGTATTTACTAGGTATATATACGAATTCCAGCAAGTGGATGCTACTGTTGAGCAAGCCTATGTACGTTATAATTTAGGTTAGGTTTGCAAAATTATAAAAATTAACTTATCTCCTTTAATTCATTTGTATTCCATGGTTTTTTCTGATTCAGACTGTCATAGTATTCACTTAGTTTCTTGTAAAACAATTCTGAATGCTACGGCATTTTTACAAACACAGAAAAGACTTTGTGTATACTCAAGCAAATGAACACAAAACTGGTACAATGAATGACTGAATCAGGCAAATGCCGTAACGAAGTTAATGAGGTTGTTATGGTGTTTTACTGAAATTGTTCAGTCATTACAATGAATAACTGAAATGCTTAGTCAAACGGTGCAGGCAATACGGGGGGCTGCCTGGGCATTTCAGGGAATGACGGATTTCAGCGTTTGATGCCGACATATATAAATTATAATTAGACCCTTTCATCCTATTCTTTATTTGGCATGGTGCGATCTAGGCTTTATAATCATCGAAACTTCAAACATAGTGCATATTGGATAGATAATTACTAAAATCCATCCACCATGCACATTTTTCAATCGATTGAAAACGACAAAACTGTTATCAAAATAGCAGCGGAGTGAATATCAATGGGGGATATAATAGCTCCCCGAACTGAATTTAATCACGTACTCGGCAAAATAATAAATATTTTTTGTTTTGATAGCGTGAAGCTTTAGCTGCACGCCATATTTCATCTATTGCATGGCTGTTTGTTTATTACCGTCAGTTGTTTTTGAAGGATTTCAATTATACCACATGTATAATGTAACATTTTCTGAGCGTTTTTAATACTGAAGGATCGTGAAGGCAAAACATAAACACCGAGGTACCTGTCGGAATTCATCTAAAGTAGCGCGAAATCCTATTTGGAGTAAGGAAATAGTCCTTTGAGCGCCTCTAGTTAATCTGAGAGAAAAACTATAAAGTTGAGCAAATAATTACGAATAGTAGTTTACTGACTGGTGGCTCACAATATATTTTAAAAAGGTGTAAAATTCATAGAAGCTTCCGTAAATTTTGTAAATTCTCATAATAAACACAAGCAGAGGCAACACTGCGGTGAGCGATCTGTTCGAAAACGATCTCGATCACTTTGAACGGAGTAAATACGCAAGGCGCGGCAAAAGTATGCTCAGTTTAAAACTGAACGGCACAAAGTCCAGCGGTTGGGTTAGAGTTGGCCTGCAAATAAAAACATTATGGGCAGTAAGTAGTAAGAAGATGAAGACATACCATTTCCAGTCGTAATGGAAAGAACATTATTTCTTAACAAAATTTGAAGGTAAAAATGTATATTTATTGCATTGCATTATTTTCCTATTTTTAGAAAGGTATATTTCTCCGCATGATCATTTTGTCTTTTAGACTCTTTGAGCTTGAAGTACCACAGCAAGTGGCCATAACCGGCCGCAGGATTGTGGTTAGATGTCGCCTTGAACATTCAAGGTCTTCTAGCCATTTTATACTACAATGTGTAGGTTTGCTCTTGTTGTGGACTTCGTGCGTGATTTCCTTCTTTTTGCGGATTTTGACCATTATTTTCTTATTACAAAAGGACGGGGACATTGGGCTTGTTGAAAACGACAGATACCTTCGTTACATGTTAAAAATATCAATCCACCCGAACAATTTAAAAATTATTACACGTTGTTTTTATACTGATTACAAGTTCTATCTTCTCTACGTTCGTTTTGAAACACCTTGTGGCTGCAACCTCAACGACGAAATCCTAATGAAGGCTCCATAGAGAATGCCGAAAGCTTATTTTTATCGTCAAAAGAGTCAACTTAAGCCTAAAAATTTGCCAATCTCCCAATTAACAGTTAATTGTATTTTGTGTCCAACTGGTCGTTGGCTTCGGCAACGACTACTGCTCATATATATAGGTGAAAAATTAAAGCTTCCGCGTTTTGTTGGGTACTTCGACAAAATTTAAGCAAAGAGGACTCTTTATACTTTTTTTAATTCTCTCTAGCTTTCTATGGACTTTGCCATCATCATCAGGAGCTGCAATTACAATGATAACAGTAGCAACAAAAGTGTAAAATGAATTTAAATTGAATCAACTTACAGTAGTATGTGAGGATGTTGCTAATTGTTGTTTTCGTATAGGATGAGGGAAACGTCCAGTAACATGGTGAGAGCTGGCCACATGGTACAATGGTTAAAGTAATATAAAATATGACAAGACAAGTTAAAGACAGATTAAAAATTATTTAGAAAACATTAGAGCATTACGTCGTGAAGCCACTTGATGATTGCACAAAATGGTGGTCATGGAATAATGAGTGAGATGAACCTTTGACAGAAGGCCGAAGGTTGTCAATGTCTGTGTTGAAAGATGGAACGAATTGTGGGCGTGTGCCAAAACGTTGCCAAATCACTTCAGATGATGTGATTTTCAGAATGTTATGTAAGAAATTGTTAAACTGACCAGAGGCAACTGCCTCGAATAAACTATATTTTAATTAATGGGAATTTTAAATTAACAATTATTAATAAATCGTGAGATG